GCAGGCGGACCCCAGGGCCCAAGTGCCTGCCAGTACACACCGCTGGCCAAGACTAAGTGGCCAAGAAGCGGGAGGGGGCAGAATTGGGCAGACGGGAGGTAGGGGCAATTGAGAGAGGTGGAAGGGGAAGGAGGGAATAAGAGGGTGCAGAAGAGGGGGGCGAGGGTTTCTCCTGAGCCCAGGGCCCTTGTCTAACGTGCAGCGGAAGGCATCCATGGGGAGGTCCTGCCAACTCTCAGACTCAGTGTGACCTGTTCACCTCCCCTCTCCTCCCTTCTTCTTCTCACCTGCCTTTCGCTGGGCTGTTGGAGGGAAAGCTGTCACCTCCCACAAGCCTTAGTCCCGGAGGCCATCAGGCCTCTTTGCTCCTGTCCAGGGGCTGCCGCATTCCTCCCCCACCTCCTCCAGTCCGCTGTGGCCCACCTGCCTCCTTAATCCAGCCCTCAAGTGGTCTGGCCATCCCCAGATGGCCCCCAGTGGAGTCTCTCCTGCTTTGAACCCTTCCCCGGCTCCCCATCACCATCCTGCTAAAGTCACCCACATAGGCTGGGCAGTGCGGTTCTGCTTCTGTTCCGTTCCGAGTCCTGCTGTTCCCGGCAGGCCTCCTCCAGGCTCACCAAAGAATTCCCCGCTCCTCCAATGTGCAAACTGCTGTGTGGGGACCCCAGCTCTGGTCTCCCCAGGCCCCACAGCCCCCACTTCCCTCGCCTTCCCCACAAGGTCGTTTCTCCCTCCTCCGTGGGCCACGCCTGCAGACTCGGATTCGCCCACATTTCTCTGGAGCCCAGTGCCCAGCCTAGAAGCAGCACAGGAAGAGCATGTTCTCACCAACGAGGCCCTGTGGAGTCTGGCTTTTCTCCTGGAGGGCGGCTGCTGGATCTTGGGCAGAGGAGGCTGTGCTGTCGGGAAGAAGCTGAAAGGGAGGAGACAGCATTGCCAGACAGGGAGGGAGGGGGGCTGGGTGGTGGGGACGGGTCCAGAGAGGGTCAGCCACTGGGCCAGGGTCACAGGGCAGTTTGGGCAAGGCCAGGACTTTGACCCAGATGTGTCTCACTCTCCGGCTTCACTCTTCAGCCATTCTGGGGGCAGTTTAGAGAGTTAGGGGGTGGGCAGGTGTGAGTGGCTGGGTCTCTGGTGCCCCTGAGAGGCCAGGCTCTCAGGACACTCCAGGTAAGGGTGGTCCTCCCATTGCAGGGAAGAAGAGGGAAGGAGAGGGAGGGAGGAGGAGGAGGGAGAAGGAGGGGGAAGGAAGGGGAAGGAGGAGGAAGGAAAGGGAAGGAGGAGGAAGGAGGGGGAAGGAGGGGGAGGAGGGAGAAGGATGGGGAAGGAAGCGGAAGGAGGGGGAAGGAAAGGGAAGGAGGGGGAAGGAAAGGGAAGGA